AGCACGCGCGAGAGAGAGAGAGAGAGAGAGAGAGAGAGAGAGAGAGAAAGAGAGAGAGAGAGAGAGAGAGAGAGAGAGAGATAGCTGTTGCAGCGGAGCGTGGAGCGCAGCGAAGCGGCAGCTTCGAGTCGACGAAGGTGGAGCAGCGAAGTGCGCGGCGATGGCTGCGAACCGGCATGCGCGGTCCTGAAAGACGCCGTTGAATTTTTAATTCAACGGCGTTAAACGCGATTTAACGTGTTTGAACGACGTTAAACGGGATTTAACGCGCGGGCCCGCGGTGAGTTTTTGGTGGTTCGGCCGACTGCGTGCGGGTTCTCGTGAGCGGGGGGGAAGGTGGGGGGTGCTACACAGGGGACCCGGAGGCGGGCGGCGGTCAAGGGGGGTTGGATTGCAGGAGGGGGTTGGGGAAAGGGGGACCCTGCGGCGGGCAGCTGTTAACGGGGGTTTTGGCCTCGACGGTGAGGTCGGCGGGAGTCTGCAAGGGTTGTCTCGCCCAGGTGGTGGACATGGGGAGGGCACAGCGCCGTCAGCATGAGGCTGCCGCGGACAATGTGCAATACACATTCAGGGCCCGCTCCCCTGTCTATCGGTACCTGGTTGTTGACTAGAAGGTTGACAACAAGGGGGTCATGATGCTCTGTTGCACGTTTTGCAACAAAGTTTTCCAAGGGACCCAATTTCAGGCCACGAGGCACTTCTCGCAGACAAACTACTGCAAGGACGTCAGCGACGAGGCGTTGTACGAGATTGCTCGACGGACTCAACAAAAGTTCGAGGCCGATCAGATGGAGAGGGTTGCCCGGTATGCAGTGGAGCACGGACTCGATGTGCCCGACACGGGTGGTGCAAGGGGAGGAGAGGCGGGGCAGCGTCCGACGGAGGGAGGGGTCGGGGGAGATGGTGGGCATGGTGCGGCAGACCCCACTTTGGGTGGTGGAGGTGGTGAGACGGAGGAGGGCGTGATCCATGTAGATCGCGAGGCGCGTGGCCCGGGTGAGGAGGGAGTCCCGGAACGGGAGGACGTGCCAAAGTTTTATCCAGGCACTGGGGGGAGGTTGGAGGACTGGCGGAGGCGAGCAGGCAAGAGAGCTGCAACGGAGGGGTCTTCCAAGAGGAAGGAAGGAGGAAGTGATCCGGCTGCCACCCCAGCAGGGAAGAGGCTTCGCCAGTAGAAGGTGACTGATGTTTACGGTGGCGAGTGGGTTGCTCGCCACAAGAAGGCATTCCTTCGCTGCCTGTATTCCAGCGGGGTCTCCTTCAATGCCTTCCGCAACCAGGCGTGGAAGGCATATCAACACGTGCTTCTTAAGCAGCCTGGCAGTTCCGCGCGCGCAGTGCTCCCCAACCACTACAAGATTGCGAGTATGGGGGCGGTGGAGACCCACCGTGTGGAGTTGGCAGAGGAGTTGGAGGAGGTGAGGCAGCCATTCAGGGTGACTGGTGCCACCCTCCTCTCCGATGGGAGGAAATCACGAGACGGGAGGCCGATCGTGAATTTCCTTGCTGCTGGCTCTCGAGGGGTCGTCGTGTACACGACGATCAATCGAGAGGGCGAGGCGAACGATGCAGTGCACGTCCTTCAGAGATGGGTTACCATCTTCCACAAGTTTAGATTCGGCCGGCCACAGCGGATCAATACGATATGCACTGACTCCGCTTCTGCCTATGTGAGGGCTGCGAGGGCATTGACCTCGCCGTCCATACCTCCTGCATTGAGGAGGATCACTTGGCTCTCGTGCTCCGTCCATGTCTGCAACAAATTGTTGTCAAACATGGAGACGAGTTGCGACGCGTTTGTGGACGCGATCACACGCGCTCGTGTGCTGGTGGTGTTTTTCAAAACCCACCAGGCCGCCCTTCATCTTTTTAGGACGCGCAACCTCGACAAGGGGGCTTATTCTTTCTTGCGAGACGCGGTTCGCGTCTGTTTACTCCATGCAGGAGAGGCTGTTGGCCCTGCAGGACACTCTGCAGGACATGATGTGAGGGGACAATGCGCGGGCTTTTGCTTCCATCCAGTGGTCCGCCGATGTGTGCGTCATGGCGCGTTGGGTGCGCCGACAGATCAGATAGGATCCATGGTGGCAGAGGGTGGCCACCATCATCCATATCATGCAGCCCATCATGGAGTTGCTCAGGCGGATGGATCGTGGAGGACAGTACATGTCCCTCATGATCGAGTGGACGTAGGATCTTGTCGGCCGTGTCACGGACGCATGCGCCCCATTGGGGAAGTCGTTCGCTGACCGGATCATCAGGCGTGTGCAGGCTCGCACACAGCACATGCTTGAGCCGGCTCACTGTGCAGGGTTCTTACTGAACCCCCGCAGGCGACACGTTCGCTACTTTTCGGGGCAGGTAGAGTGGTACGATGCTTGGCTTGTAGGGCAAACCAAGAGGTACATTCTGACGCAGACGGGATTTGAGTTGGAGGGTGCGGAGTACATCCTTGCATGTCGGCGGTTTGAGGATTTCCACATTCAGCAGGGCAGGTTCGGGGATTGGGGCAGGCCGGAGGGGCGTGCTCGTGGGCGCGCGTGCAGCGACGACAGCGAGACAATTGAGTGCGCGTCTTGGTGGTCTCAGTTCGGGACGGGCGTGCCAGAGTTGCAGCGTTGCGCTCTTCGGGTGATGCACATGTGGTCTTGCGCCTCTCCAGCGGAGAGGAACTGGGCAGTCCACGAGGGCATTCACACGAAAAAGCGCAACCAGTTGGCCTTCGAGAAGGTCGTGCAACTCGTTGAGATCACCGCAAATGTGCGGTTGACTGAGTATCGGCAGGCTGGATGCAGTTATGTGTTGCCATGGCAGCGGGACGAGGGCATGCTGGATTGCCAGGCAGGACTCGAGTTGGAGCCTGTGCGCTCGGGGACTCGCAGGGGGATGACGGAGGAGGAGATTGTCCGTCAGGTTGCACTTATTACCCGGGATCCCATCGGGGCGTCCGCACCACCCTCGGCTGATGCCGTTTTCGATAGACGTGCTTGCATTTTTCGTCCCTACCCCAGGGAGGACGACTCAGACGGGGAGCCGATACCCGAGGCGGCAGATGACCCTGCGCTCTGCATTCCCCGGGAGATCGACGAGATGCACGAGGATCCCGACTCCGAGGAGACGAGGGCAAACACTGCACGACGGGGGGCGGACCGGGTGGAGAGGGAGATGCTGGGGGGAGACGAGGACTTTTGGGGCCCATTCGGTGAGGTCGCTTCCACGGGCGGCCCAGAGGCGCACGCGACGACCCCCACTCCGACGAGGCGGGATTCGTCTATGCCGCCACCTCCTGCTCCGAGTCCTGCACCACCATCGCTTGTCTCGCCACTTCAGCCGGACAGGGAGGAGTTGGGGTCCTCTTTGCCTCAGCGCGGCCTTCTCCATAGAGGCGGGACAGTCCGCCAGCTTAGGTTACGATCACCTTCCCCGGGGATATTGCAGGAGGAGGGGGCACCTTCGGCAGCAGCAGTGGAGAGTTCGGTGACACCAGCAGCGGTGCCGGACGCGACGATCTCAGCCGCGCTGGAGGAGATAGCAGCAGCAGCAGTGCTGGAGGAGATGGCAACATCAGTGCTGGAGGAGGCTCCACCAGTGGCAGGAGGAGGTGCAGTAGTGGAGGGGCCGGTGGCAGCAGCAGGAGGAGAAGGTGGAGGAGCAACAGCAGTGGAGGTTGAGGTGGCAGCAGCAGTGGAGGAGGAGGAGGCACCGTTGGCAGCTGCAGTGGAGGAGGAGATAGCCGCACAGGCCGAGGTTGCTGCGTGGGGGCGATGACGAGCGCCTCATGCAGCAGTTCCTCACGGAGGAGCTCGGTCCGGCCATAGCGGGTATGACCCCGGGTGTGGCGAGGGGGTTTGGGATTTCAGATTCGGAGATGGGGACCCACTTAGACTTAGATTTGTCGATAAGCCTTCCACCTAGTTGCGGCGGGGCGACATTGACGGACCGGGCTCCATCGAGGGACGAGGCGCCAGGACAGACTTCGACGCAGACCGCGAGAGAGAGAACGACGGCTGAGTCTCCAGATGCAGCACGCGACATCATGTAGCGAGAGACGGCTAGACTGTTGGCATCGACTGACCCGCGTGCTCAGGCGTTCGCACGGGCCGTAGAGGAGGCCAGGCGTCGAAAGATAAGAGGGGGTTGTGTGCAGGGTGGGGTGGTGGCGGGGGAGGACGTTGCGGAGGGAGTGGCAGCTGAGCCGGTACCCGAGGCTATCCCGGGTGGAGCAGAGGTAGCGGACGTTGTTGTGGAGGGACGGCCTCAGTCGGTGGATGAGGCTATGCAGGCAGGACAACGGCGAGTCGAGGGGGCTATAGATGCACAGCGCGAGGTCCAGGAGACAGCGACGGGTACAGTCATTCTGTTCTCCGGCTTGCACTTGGCTCAGGCCCGACAGCCGCAGCCGGTTCAGATGGCAGTGCATGGTGTGCCACCGCCCGTTATCACGGATTTGGGGTCCGAGCCGGTGGTTGTGCCCCCACGTCTTCCTAGCCACTTTGCTCCGCAGGAGGTCCGTCGTCCTTTGGATGCAGAGGAGTTGGCGAGAGAGGCTGTGCGCAATGTTACTCGCTTGGACCGGCGGATCTTCAACCGGAGGCTCGAGCATCCACCATGGCAGACGATCCCTTTGGTTCCATGGGGTCCTGCATCGCCCGTGTGGTCTGGGTCTACCTCCACCAAAGGACATACCGCGGGACATGTTCCAGGGATTTCGGGTGGCGTGACGGAGACAGCGCCACACACAGGAGACATGCCACCCCCTCCTCCCAGAGCACCTGCAGGTGATCCATCATCGTCGCCTACAGGAAGAGGTTCTCGATCCCCACACACACCTGGGAGATCTAGGATTCGTGACACGACATCAGTTCAGCAGGACGTGTGTGACACGACGATATTCGGGAGGACATATATAGATTTGGATTCCACCCGCCGTGTCACGGAGCACACTGCACGCCTTGAGCTGGGCTTGGGAGGAGGAGGCGCTAGGACGACCATGACGAAGGAGGTACTGGCATCAGGTTGTGAGCCTCAGCGAGGTCGTGGCAAAGGAGTGTCTACCGAGACCTTGGAGTACGCTCTAAGAGCAGCGACGCGTGCCGTGCAGGAGAAGACTCCACGCAAGCGTGGAGTGCCTCCTCGTCCACCCCCTGTGCCTGCAGAGGGAGGCGCAGTACTTGGAGAGAGTTCGAGGGCGGAGGGGTTGGGGATGCCTCGTGGATCCCGCCGTGAGCAGACCATTGCAGAGGCTAGTGCGAGGGTTGTTGTGTTGAGGAAGGGAGGAGGCCCAATCACCATCGAGGAGGATGATCCTGATACGGATGCGTCTGTGGGGGATGCGGACGAGGACTACGAGGGCGAAGAGGGGGGAGAGGAGGATAGCAGGAGCGGTTCTGATGGTGACGACGACGACGACTACGATGAGCCCCCACCTTCCCCAGGACCCCCACCGACGCATGCATCTAGACGCTCCGCTCCACGGACTTCTTCATCTTCATGAGGGAGGAAGAGGTCGACATCCAGCACTCGAGGGGGCACGAGGAGATACAACGGGAAGGGGAAGAAGGGTCGTTGACCGATGAGGCCAACACTCCGCTTCTCCCCTACTCGCACTGTATGTCGTCATGTTGTGCGGTTGTAGTTTTTTTGGTAGTCTCAGTCGTCTCGTCTTGTCTCATTATTGTCAGACACTCAGTGGTTGTGTGCGTGCTTTACTTGTTGGTGTGTATGATTTTGGTAGCAGTAGGGTGTTCGTAGAGTATGATTTTGGTGCCAGTGGGTGTTCGTAGAGTGCCATCAGTTGCAGCAGACTGAGTTCAGACTGTACAATATTTTTTTTTCTTGTATCATTTAGGCAGCTACGACGCGACTTGTAGACTATTGTTTCTTGTATCTTTTTCGACATGTGGTGCCTGTGCATTAGCAGTAGGATACATTGTATCATGTTGCATTTTGCATGTGTGATATTAGTGTCAGCCTGTCCGGTACTTCGCATCCTTCACGACTTTTCATGTACATTACATTTTCTGTTACAAGTGATGCACGTTGCCTTCCCATTTTTTTGTCGGTGTGTGATTTTATATCTTTAATTGTTGTTCTCATTTTCAATTTCATTTCTTGCATTTTTTTCTTTTAATTTATTTATGGCTTCGAGAGTTTGGTACTTGTTTTTTTTTTTTTCTATCTTAGTTGTTGATTCTATTTGCATCAAATGGAACAGGGTGTTTGGGGAGGGGTGTCAATGGGGGGTGATTTTTTTTTTTTTTTTTCTGGTTTGAGTGTTTGGGGACGTAGGCACACGTGTCCGAGGCCCAACGCGCGAATTTCGTTTTTCAGAATTCGACGCGAAGCCCCCGTTTTTGTGTTAAACGCGATTTAACGGGGGTCCAGGGGCCCGTTAAATGGATGAACGGGCGTTGAATTTCGAGCACGGCCTCCACATGGACGACTCGAAGATCCTGACCATCGTCGATTGGCCTACCCCTACATCGCTCCTCGCCCTGCATAGTTTTCTTGGTTTGACCAAGTACTATGGTCCTTTTCTCAAAAACTATGCGCAATATTCTTCCCAGTCATTCAGCTCCCCTTGGGTCTTCATCCACTGCAAAGTGGAGTGATCAGAAAAGATCTGAAAAGGCCGGCCCATGAGGAAATGCTTCCAATGCTTCAACGCTGACACTAGAGCATACAACTTTTTCTCGTACGTGGAATCCTACAGTTTCTTGACTTTGATATTCTTACTCATATATTCAACTGGCTGCAGACCATGCCCACCATCCTGCTGAAGTACCGCCCCAATCCCATGCTGACTAGCATCAGTAGTTAGTACGAAAGGCAAGGTAGGGTCAAGTAGCTTCAGAACAGGTGCACGCATCAAGGCCTCCTTGAAGCGTGTAAAAACCTGCTGACAGTCTGATGTCCAAAGAAAGTGGGTGTCTTTCTTTGTAAGACCAGTCAGGGGGGCTGCAATAGCAGGAAAGTTCTTGACGAACTTCCTATAGTATGATGCAAGACCCAAGAATGACCGGACATCACGAACTGTGGTAGGCTGTGGCCAGTCCGGAATCGCTGCAATCTTGGGCGCTTCAGGAGCCAACCCTTCCTCAGAGATTACATGCCCAGATAAGTCACAAAAGTCACTCCAAAGGAGGACTTTTCCCTGTTGATTTTATATTGGGCCTCATGTAATGCCTGGAGAACTAGAGCCAGATGCTATGCATGCTCCTCGACAGATCGACTGAATATCAGGATATCATCCAGGTATAGAACTACAAACTTGTCAAGGTAAGGTCTGAGTATGCGATGAATCTCTGTCTGGAACGTGCCAAGGGCATTGCAAAGACCAAAGGGCATGACCAAGTACTTGTAGGTATCGTATCTGGTCTTGAAGGCAGTCTTGTGGACATCGCCTTCAACCATCTCAATCTGGTGGTAGCCAGATTTGATGTCGATCTTGCTGAAAATTGTGCAGCCCTGCACCATGTCCAGCAGATCATCCATCCTAGGAAGGGGCTCTGTAGACTTCTTAGTGATCTTGTTGAGACCCGTGTAGTCCACACACATTCTGAACTCTCCATTTCCCTTTGGGACAAAGAGAACTGGAGCCCTAGATACGACCCTTGGGGGGTACTGCACCTGGCAGGAGCTCAATCCTGTGCTGGGTCTGCCTATGGACAAGTCGAGTAGGCTCCTGCATCAGGTCTGGATACCGGTCCAAAACCTGCTGAATCGGTGAGGGACAAGGAGCAACCTCCACACCAGTCTGTTTCACATATGCGACGAACAGACGTGTGTGGGCAGTCTGGCGAGAGAGTTGAAAGAACATGTGTGCCCTCATACAATAACAACTGCTGACTTGATGGTGCTCATCAGCCAGGACACAGGGCTGACAGTCTCCTCTACAGTCAGGAAGCTCTACCCTAGAGATCTGCCAGTCGATCCTAGGGTTAGTGGCCTCAAGCCACTGCATGGAAAACACAAGATCAAAGGGTACATTAGGAAACACATAGAAGTTCACGCGCTGCCTGACCTTCTCCTGCTTGTCAAAGATAACCGGTAGGTTCCTCACAGCAGATGTAATCCGGACTGTGGAGGAGTCCCCAATGCTGACTTCCAATGATTGCTGCAACTTCACCAATCTCTCATCCAGATGCAGTTTACTGACAGCTTTGGGAGAGATGGAGTTCCGGGTAGCCCCACAGTCTAATAGGCCCTTGATCCTGGCTTCCAGGATAGAGGGTCGCAGCAAGATGAGGTCTGATTTATTCTTTTTCTTTTCCTGCAAAGACAGGAAAAGATCAACAAAAGTCTGACCATCATCTTGCTGCCACGTCTCATCCAGGTCAGGGTCCATGTAAGTGAAGGATCCTGACGCAGCAAATCCAACAGAGTTAGTGAGGGTAAATGCAGAATCAGATCCATCAGAATCTGATTATATAAGTGGAGGGACCTGCAGAGTCCACTTCCCTCTGCTGGTCTAGTTTTTTGGACTAGAACCAGGTCTGCGAGGCATATGGGGACAATCTTTTAAGAATTGGTCCCCCACGCAGCGAAAACAAACCTCACGGTCCTTCCTACTCTGCCACTTCCCCTCCTGGATCATGAGCGCTCTCTAGGGAAGGGTGGAAGGATCCATGACATTGATTGGCTAATGGACGTCTCGTGGTAAATTTGTTCTCTGGGCCTGAGGGTAAGTGGCACGTCCCTTCCCTTTCCCCTTCTGACTGGTTGAACCCTTGTTGCTGTCCTTGCTGAACTTTCCCTTGAACATCGCAGCAAGATTCTCAGCCAGGTCAAGAACGGCTGGCTCAACTGTTGATCCTGATGCAGTCTCAGATGGAGGACTGCCACGCTGAGATGCATCAGAATCAGACCCTGCATTAGCAGCCAATAGAGCGCCTTTCCTCTTGCGCTGTCCCTGGGAGGTAGGCCTCTTCCTTCCTTCAAAAGGAGTCTGAACCTTGAGCCGAGACTCTAGGTCCAGTGCCGCTTTGCCAAAGGACCTCCAGTCCTTGTGGCCGTGAGCATACAAAGCAATCGAGTGGTCTGGAGGTGCTGCACGCAGGAAATGAGTGAGCTGGTCAGACTCACTCATCTCCAGACCCGGTGTCGATGTCAAGCTCTCAAATAGGCTGTAGAGCTTGGATAAAGAGCCCTCAAATCTGAGAAACCCCAGCAACATAATTTTATTAGCTGCTTTGCGGGCCTGCTCCCTGTCAGCAAACCGGTCCTGCAGCGCCTTCAGCAACCCTGCCACCCCCAGCTGATGTGCCCATCTATCCATAGCAACATTCTCTTTGGTTGCAGAGGACGTGCATCATTTCAGTGCAGACCTCTCCAACCGGCCAAGAATGGTCCCCACCTTTGTTGCTTCTAGGCATGTAAAGCTGCTCAGGTATACCTGCATAGCGGTGACCCAGTCTGACACATCCACCTTGGGGTCTTCCCCAGAATACATAGGAGGTGGTGCCAGCTTGGGCCCTCGCAGCACAGATGCACGAGAAGCGACAAAGGGGGTGGATGCATGGGAACCAACAAGTGAGGCTGGACGACTGTGAGGTGGTGAACCTGCTGGCCGGGTGATCAGCTGGCCAGCTGGCTGTACAGGCTGGAGGGATAGAAGGGGCAGCTTTAGGTGCTGCAGAATGCTGTTCATCCCTGTTGCCAGAGAGGTCAGGTCCTTTGGCATCTGATCCACCTTGTGTTCGATGGCGGAGACCTGACTCTCCACAGCAGTGATCCGGTGGTCCCAGTTCGAAAAATAAGATTTGCTAAGAGTGTCATTCAGGATGACCATCTCAACAAAACTCTTATTGTATCCACTGACGGAACCATTGTTAACAACTTTCTTTACCTCCACCAAAAGTTATCTCCTCCTTTCCTCCTGCTTTCCGACCTCTTCAGTTTCCTCTTTCTCCTTCCTGAGCTTGGCGATCTGTTCATCAACTTTTCGCCTAGCTTCCTCAGCAATCAGCAATGCTTGATCCAGAGGGGAAAGAGGAGGCTCAGGAGGAGCAGAAGTTTCAGCCTCCTTCTTCTTTTCAGACATGTTCCCTTCAGCGTCAACCATGATAATCCACTCACATAGTCAATAAATATAAACAGGCAGATAAGAGGTAATCAGAGATAAAGATTACACACACACAGAGGTCATCAGTGCCACCTGATGAGAAGAGACATGGTGTAGTAGCAGAAGAGCGCTCAGCCTCTGTAGGTTGCTGAGGGCTATCCTGGGTCAGTTTAGGTCAGAACCATATAAAACCAGATTTGTAATTTTTCATTCACAGCCCAGAACCCTCATCTGAGTCAATACCCCAGAATCGCTATCAAAGACATAGACAAGATGCAACCTTGGACTGTAAGCAGACAAATTAGAATAGCGATGAGAGTTAGTAGCAATCCCCATAACCCAGTAGTCAACCAAGATGCAGCGGGTGACTGAACAAGCTATTTTTAGACTCCTACTACTGACACTAGCACTGTAGGACCCTGTATGCCCCACTATGGGTGAGGCGAAGTACAAATTGCACTG